CCACAAGTTTTCAAAACAATGTAGATAATGAGCATCACCATCACTGTGATTGTTCATAACAGCGCATTAATAGGCTACTGGACATCACCATTCAGTCTTCGTATAAGCACATAAAATACTGAATATAGCTGCTATAAGTTTTCAAAACAACACAGTAGGCTATATACTGAGCATCATCTCCACTATTATTAGTTTTTCTCTCAGCACAGTAAATACTGAGCATCGCCATTCTTATAAGTTTTCAAAACAGTGCAGTAAACACAATGCAGAACATCACCATACAGGCTCATTTTCATCTGCAGTCCCTGACAGGTTGATGATAAAAACCAAAGTCCACAAGTAGGCTACATAGAGAACAAACATGCCAGCAAACATAGTCACACGCATAAAAGACTTTATAAAAACCAGAATCAAGCAAGAAACCACTACTTCAAATTATGAAGACATGTTTGATTATCCAATGACCACCCTTTTATCGATTCAAAAAAATAAACAAAAGATGTAATATTTCTTAGTTCTATCCAAGTATGTACTGCTCTGCTCTATAGGAAAATGTTGACTGCCCAAGAGCACTTCTTCTACGTGGTATTATACAGTCCCCTCTAAGGTGCTTCACGATGCCATAGAATAACCATTTGGTCTAAATGGTTCCATAAAGAACCTTTAACATGAAGAACCTTTCTGTTTCACAAAGTGGAACCATCAATGGTTCTTCTATGGCATCGCTTGAAGAACCTTTTGAAGCACCTTTATTTTTAAGAGTGTAGTGGCTCTAGTAAATGAGTTAAAAATGTGTCTAATGAATTCATTAAGTGGAGGTGGGGCCATACCATTTTGTACACAAGTAACTTTACTTACTAATCTTGCGCTAATAGCGCATTTAATACGGCAAAGCATTACTAGATTGTTTTCTCTCTGCACGTTATATGCACATCATCGCCGTTCTTGTAGTAAGTTTTCAAAACAGCGCAGTAAAGCAGAGCCCCATCACGGTCACTGTGATTAGTGTTCATAACAGAGCACTACACACTCAATCTGCGTTCACTCAGCAGTGACAGTCAATCATAGGAGACGCTGGAAAATCTCTGGTGAATCCAGGAGGAACTTTCACGCTTTTTTCTGGATGTAGGTGACATTTTTCTTCTGAGACGAATTCAACCTTACTGACATAGCCTACTGAACTACAATCACTAGTCGACTGCCCTGATTGCTTCTGGACGGGCTGCTGAATCGGGTCACTGAGCATCGGGCGTTTCAGTCACCATGCTAGACATTCACTTAGAAAAGAAATTAATTATTTTAATGAAACATCGCCTGAGACTAACCTTGAGGATTATGATTATATTTTCGCCGATGAGACTTATAAACTCCTGACGTTCACCATCGGATCTATCGGTGTCCTGGGCTTCTGTAATAATATCATCGTGATTATTCTCTACTACAGGTTCAAGAGACTCCGAACACCAACTAATTTGTTAATAGTGAATATAAGTGTCAGCGATCTGCTGGTGTCAGTCACTGGAGTTAATTTCACATTCGTCTCGTGCGTGAAGAGAAGATGGATCTTTAATTCTGCCACATGTGTTTGGGATGGATTCAGCAACAGTTTATTCGGTCAGTTCTTTCTTTAGTCCCGCGTGTATCGATAGAGTCACCTAGATAAGTTTAATTCAAAGAATTCAGTAATAATTCAAAGAAAGTCGTTCGTATTCGTTTTTCCTCTTAACTGTTTACTTCGTCTGATCAAGAAAGACACATTTTTGTCACAACGATGTACAGTAGCCTATTTTGGCAGCAGTTAGGGAACTTGGTGCTACACAAAACGCTCCAGAAAGCACAGCTGGGATTTAAAAATAGTATAAGCAGAATAAAACCATTAAATAATATTACCATACCTACGTGAGTCAATTTAACGTGTTTTACCACGGAAACAAAACCGGACAAATAAACTATTTGGAAACTGACCACCCTACATGACTAAGCTGGCAAGACGTTATTTACCACAGCTGCGAGACATTTCACATAAGCAAAATGTGAGTAGCCTATTTATAATATTATTACAGCTCTGTGAATGTCTAGACTTCATTTTTCACTCATGATAAAACTCTCTGGAGCAGCGCGCAGGGGGAGTCTGGCAGGATTTCTCACACTTAGCTACCTCACGACAAATTATATGAATAACCATGAGAACAACACATTGGAGTAATGTCATAACCTTTGGGTGTATGTCACCTGGAAGCATAGGCGTAGAATTTAGTAGGGACGCTAGGCAATAATTTTTTAGAGTGTCACAACGTTTATGCTTAATTATTTGATTTATTTGACTATTTACAACATAAGACACAACTCCAAGTATACAACTATGACACATTTATTGAAATAAAAGTCCATCTGGCGCAGGGAAAGATGAAGTCAAATGGAGTCAGATAATGACACTTTAATGCACCAGAAATATCC